GCTTGGCTGCCGGCTGAGACTGAGCCGGCCGTCGATCCACCTGCCGAGACTCAGCCTCCTCCCTCGCTTGAGTCTCCAACTCGATCTCGCGCTTCCTGGCGTTCGCCTGAAGCTCAGTGAAAGTACGATAGGTGGAGTTTGACACAAACTCCCGGATTCCCTCTTCAAAACACCCAAATACCGGCTCATCCGCGACTGCTCCGTAGATACCAGCTCGGGGCAGAACATTGCCCTCTCATGAAACTTCCGTGTGATCACTGCCACGGAATCAGTACCCTGCTTAAGGGTCAAGAACTCCTGAATCAATCGCTCCCTCTCTACCGGGGGAACGTACTCGTCCCTGAACATCTCCGTAAACCTCTCCCATGTCACCGCCGAAATCTCTGCCTGAGTGAAGTTCGCCGTCACGAACTTCCACCAATCCTTCGCTCCCAGACGGAAGGCGAACCGTACCCTCAAGTGCTCCGGGCATGAGCAAGTATAGAAGCACCCCTCGATGTCGGCGATCCACCTCATAGCTGCAATCGGATCCTGCGTCCCATCAAATTCAGGGGGTTTCGTGTTGCTGAATTCCCTGAATAGTAATGAATCACCCCCTTGCGGCCTGGCAGCAGCCACAGCTGCGGTAGCGGCAGCAACTGCAGCTTCAGTAAGTGCGGCGTACCGCTCCTCAAACTCCTCCATCAGCGTGGTCTTAATAGACCCAAACATCTCCGGGATCTCAGCCCGGACCGCCGCAGCTACCTCTTCCTGAATAATCTGACGAATCTCCTCGTCACTCGCACCGCTCGAACTCGCCCCATTGCGTGTGATAACCATGATGTCTCTGAAATACAACATAAAATCATCAGAGACTCCACCAAGTACAATTGTACTCGATACGCGCCCTACCCAGTCTCCGATTTCCAGGGATTCTTACTTGAGTCTTCCACTGATCCGGTGCCTTCGGTAGTACGGGCCCAATACTACCGACCACACCGTATCAGTATTCGTCCCAAATCTTCCTCCCCAAATCCCGAATAATGAGTACTCTACTCTAGTATGCACTATCTACTTGCACGCTACCAAATATCTCATATAAGCAATCTCCCTAGACTAAGGCATCACAAAACAGGCAATTCTAGTCCTATCATGTATACCTAGTCTTCTAGCATGCATAACAATTCATAATTCAGTGCATAACATAACATCGTAAGGTATTCTGGGGATCTTTACCGTTCGGACGCTGGCTGCTCGTACACACTGTTCCATCCTTGTTTACCGCCTTACCATTTATAAAATGTTGTGTCCTTATTATTTAAAAAGGTTTTTCCTCAAATCCCCGGTCTGAGTTCAGTTGCACCCAAAAGTACACCCGAATCCCTCAAACCAAGGCTCTGATACCAATTGTAACAGCTCAAATTTTCAAATAAAATTTTCATTTAAAACAAAACATCATTATTCGACAAAAGATTTATTCCAAGTTTATTGCAAAAGTATAAATAATAAATCTCCAAGATCTTCAACAATGGCAGTGTGTACGTGTCACGCCGGCGCCTTCCCACGGTCATCACTAGTACCTGAAAAACATAAACACAACTAGTAAGCATAAATGCTTAGTGAGTTCCCCAGTATACGACTTACCCACATACGCCTTCCGGCCCGGACCTTTCGGTCCACATAACATTGCCTTCCGGCCCATAACGTAATCGCCTTCCGGCCCATAGTATATCGCCTTCCGGCCCATAGTATTTTGCCTTCCGGCCCATAATAGTATAAAACATAACACATGTAACATAACGCACATAACACATAAGTCATACACCATACCGTTCTTTCTATCACATAAAGTCTCGCCTTCCGGCCCGTATAAGCATACATCACATTTAAGCATTCATCACATATAAAGCATCTACCTCTCTAGACATAGCATAAATATAACACATACGACCTTCCGGTCTCGCAGTCAAACCCTTCCGGGTGAAGTATAGTGAGAAGACTCACCTCGTAGTGTGCAAGCTATAAACCCTTCGAGCTACTCGCACTCGATCCGCTAATCTGCAGGCTCCCTATAATACCACATACCTTAATTAATGATCTTATCAAACAAGACAACCGACCCTACCAAATTACACACAGGTCAACGGTCAACTTGACCGGACTCGTCGAGTGCAAAGGGCAACTCGGCGAGTATAGACACCCCGACTCCACTCGCCGAGTCTAAAGAACGACTCGACGAGTTCTAGTAGATCTTCAAGCTACTCGCCGAGTCTGATCATTGGACTCGGCGAGTCCTCGCCATGCAGTCAATCCGCTGCCTCCTGTATTTCGCATGATTTCGAAGTATATATATATAGGGCTTCCTGGACTTTCACATATACTATTACAGGGGTTTTTAAACACTTATAACAACACTATAATCTAACAATTCCTTAAATGGGTTTCCTAAACCCTAAATTCGCATACAACGTAAAAGCTACAGATTATGATCCGAAGATTACCTGGAAACGTGTTCCCTGTGTCCCCAACCTCCAGTACTCGACTCCTTGGACTTCCTTTGATCACCACCTTGCCCCTCCTTGTCTAACAATCTCTTCAAGCTTCCTCTAGCCCTCACTCTTGCTCCAGATGCCCACAAACTCCCAAGGTATCTTCAATCGGCCAAAAGACGCGACATGACGGCCATAAGATCATTATATACGATTCAGAATTGAAACGGCTAGGGTTCAGCTGAATCGGCGTCTACTCGCCGAGTCCCTATTTGGAATCGTCGAGTCCAGTCGCGTATCTGCGACCAAGACCATGGCCCTACTCGGCGAGTCATGCACCAACTCGCCGAGTCCCCTCCTAAATGTGCCCCAAAAATAATTTTAAAGAAATACCTGAAATTCCGGGCTGTTACACCACCGGATCCACCCTCCGAGTCTAGTCATGTCCTTCGAGTCTACAGTGTGGTTGGTCCGCCCGCACCGGGCCTTCAACCCACCTGGTCCACTCTCTGAGTCCACAGTATGACTGGTCCGCCCGCATCGGGCCCTCAGTCGGCCTGGTCCATTCTCTGAGCCTCGGCACGTCTGGCCCGCCCTCGTGGGGCCTACAACCTATCCGGACCGCTCGCTGGGCCTTCGGAACAACCGGTATGCCCTGGGTATCTTGGCCTACAGCACAAAGCAGGACCCGCCTCAACCCATCTCCAGTCCAAACAACCATGTGCACATAACATACAATCATATAACAGTCATAGTCAACAAACCGATCAAACAGATCACATAGCATATCATAACCCTAACCAGGTTACCGACCTAACCGGTCACTAGCATAACATCACTCTGCATATCGGGAAACTGACCTTAACTAGGTCTCCAGCATATACCACCTCAGCTACCAAGATGCAGACATATCAAACAATAACATAATAACCATATCCGAATCTCAATCCAATAAAGAGCCGGCCTTGGTGCCTTAGACCCTGTTGATATAGTGAGGATAACTCACCTCGAAACTGCCGGCTGAAAGGATAAGATCCCGCTGCTCCGAACTCCAACATGAACTCCTCCACTGAACACCAAAACACTCAACTCAATATATATATATATATATATATATATATATATATATATATATATATATATGTATTCTTAATTACCAAAATACCCCCGGAAGACAATTGGTCAACCTTGGACAAAGTCAAAGTCAACCCCTAACTGACTCTACTCGCCGAGTCAACCCGATGACTCGCCGAGTCCCTATGCTCAGAACTTCCCTCAATCCGCGACCTAACTCGCCGAGTCACCCCGAGACTCGCCGAGTCCAACAACACTGAGTCCACTCGCACCTAACTCACCGAGTCATCCCTTGACTCACCGATTCTCGACTCAACCAGAAAATATTGGGACTCTTCGACAAGACTCGCCGAGTCCAAGAACAGACTCGCCGAGTCTAAGGCTATCTTCAACCTACTCGCCGAGTTGTTCATCCAACTCGTCGAGTTCCAGCTCATCTTCAAGCAACTCGTCGAGTCCACCCTTGTGACTCGCCGAGTACAACCGATCTGAATCCAAACAGAAGCATTCCAGGCCATGCAATTGATCCAAAACATAGATCTAGCCTCCTACAATCCATTCATCACGTAAAGTGGCAAACTTTACGTGAATCCAAAGAGATCTAGGCCTTATTCACTTTAGAGCTAGGGTTTGGGACATGATGGCTTCACTAAGCACTCAAACACAGGAACTTTAATGCACTCTAGGCCTTCAATATTCCAGATCTGAGGTAGCAACCTCAGATCTAACCTCCAAACTCCGAAACATACCAAAAAAACTCCCCACAAACCCCAAAATGATGAATCCATATGAGTGATAGCCCAAGAACAAGATGTTACCTCAAAAGAATGCCCCAGCTGCAATGAAACTCGAATCCAAGCAAAGCCCTTTGATCCAAGCCTCTTCTCCTTCAAGATTTCTTCAACAAACACCTCCCCAAGCTCCAAATGCACTCTAATCTTCTTCAATCACGCTTTCTAGGGTTTCTGGACTTCAAGGGGGATTAAAGAGGCTGGGGAGAGGATATAATGTTCTTTAAATAGGGCTGATTCCCCAGATTTAGGGTTTTCTCCACTCAGCACCTACTCGCCGAGTCCATCTTTGGACTCGCCGAGTAGGCCACTTGACTCGCAACCAAAGTCGCGACCCTACTCGCCGAGTCCATCCATGGACTCGCCGAGTTGCCCTTCAAAATTTACACTTTTAGTCCTTCAACTCTACTCTTGCTATTTCGGGATGTTACAAGATTCACAGACATGAATGGAGAAACTTTATACCGTTTCTTGCATGTATCAAGTTTTACTGAGTACACAGTGGTTGAAGTTGCTCGTGTAATCAAAGAATCCCAGCAAACAGAGTCTGCCTCTTAAGTTGTGGAGTATCAACAGGTAATTTTTTGCTTATTTTATGCACTTTTTACTATATTTATGATATAGATTGGTGATAAAATGAAGATTATGCATTTGAGGACTTGAGTTTATGAAAATAAATAATTTAATTTCAGGGGTAGGTGCTGCTTGGAAAGCTGCAAAGGTGGAAATTGGAACAAGAGTTGCTATATTTGGACTAGGTGCAATGGGGCTAGCTGTATGATTGATTCTTATCAACTTATATATAAAGATTAAACTTTTGGGCCTTACATATAAAGGCTTTAATAAATTTTTGTAATCGAACATAATAAACATTACAATCTACATACATGCACAGAACTCTATAAATTGCATATTATACAATATATATATATATATATATATATATATATATATATATATATAATTAAAATCATGAAAGGATGCCGAATAAATTTCTTATTTCACAATGTTGACATTAACAGGACAAAATAGTTAATTAGGAAAAATGTGTGAAACTTTTATGGTTTGATTGGAAAAATAAAGGAATAATGGTTAAACCTAAAATATGATGTTTTTTTTCTCATATGACATATTGTGTAATTCCCCCCCCCCCCCCCCCCCTTTTTTTTTTTTTTTTTTTCTCATATGACATATATTGATGAGGGTAAAATGGGCATTATCTTTTTACAGATTGACGAGAGAGCAAGGCTATGTGGAGCTAAAAGGATCATTAGAGTTGATTTGAACCAATACAATTTTGAAATACGTAACTTATTATTATTTATATTATTATTTTTTTCCCATCCTATTTTTAACATTAATTCATTTCTTTAATATTGACAGGAAAGAAATTTGGAGTCACTGATTTTGTGAACCCACGAAACATGGGGACAAAACTATTAGCCAGGTAATTTTTATACATTATGCTTCATTTTAAAATTAATATATTAAATTCTTAAATGAAAATGAAAAAATATTTCTTGAATTAGGTGATAATTAAGATGACTGGTGAAGGTGCAGATTATTGCTCTGAGTGTGTGTGGTTGACTTCTCTTGTGCATGAAGCTTATGCTGCTTCTAGAAAGGTCTAATTGTTTTCTATATTTTTATATTTTGATACATGAAATTATATTTTTAGCCACTAATTGAATCTTTTTTTTAACAATGAATGTAATCTTTAGGGATGAGGGAAAACGGTTATGCTGGGAGTTGACCAACCGAAGGCAATGTTGACTTTAAGTTCTTTTGAGGTACTTCACAGTGGAAAATCAATCATGGGTTCTCTTTTTGGAGGTCTAAAACCAAAATCTGATATCCCTATTCTCAAAAAATGTTGCATGGATAAGGTAAATATTTTGAATGTTTAAAATATTTTTATTTTATAAGAAACTAATGAACTCCTTGATCTTTTTAGGAACTACAGTTAGATGCATTTGTGACACATGAGGTTGAGTTTGAAGACATCAACAAGGCTTTTGATTTGCTTCATCAAGGGAAGAGCTTGCCTCAAACTTACGGTTTAAGGCAATTTTGTTTTTTTAGGTGTTCTGATCAGCTATGATGGTTGTTGGGAGTAAGTTGTTGGTGCTATTCAGTCGGTGGTTTAAGCATTTTCAAGAACGGGCAAGATGAGATCCTGAATTACTTGTAGGGATTTGTGTCATCTCTTATGTTTTTTCAAACAACTTTTTATTTTGCACGTACTTAATGTGTTCGATCAAATGTCTGTGAGATAAAAGCTTGAGTTTACTCCAAGTGTATCAAGAAATTGAAAAAATACTTTCATTTATTAATCCAGGCATGTTCCACTAAACTTCTATATATTTTGTTGTCTCCTAATTTCCTTTTGTATGTAGTACTATTTAAAAAGTTTTTTACATCTTTACTTTTCTTTATATTAGCGCATTGCATTTTCTTTGAAAAATCTTCCAATTTAACATTCTACTTTTAGTTTTCTTATTATTTGCACATTGTATTTTCAAATACCACACATTTTCAACATTATACCATTAGTTTTTATTAGGCTGTATTTTAAAAATTCAAACTATTTATAGCATTTCACCTTTAGTTCTTAATTTTTTTTTAAAAGTTTGTAATTCTAAATGTTATTATTATTATTATTATTATTATTATTATTATTATTATTATTATTATTATTATTATTATTATTATTAATGAAATTTACTTTGAAAAATCTATCCATTTAAGTTCAGTTTTCTTTTTACTAGCGCTCTGCATTTTCAAAAATCATCCCTTTTTAGCATTGTACTTTTAGTTTTCAATCATTATTAAATTTTCTAAATTAAACCTATTATAGCATTGTACTTTTAGTTCTTTGTACTTTTAGTTTTCTTATTATTAACACATTGTATGTAAAAAATCAATTCGTTTTAATATTGTACTTTTTAATCATTATTAGATTTTCAAAAATTTAACCATGTATGGCAATGTATTTTTAACTCTTAGTTCTTTTAAATACATGTAGTTTTTAAAAAATTTTCAATGCATTTTATTTTGAAAAGTCTTCCATTTTAGCTTATTACTTTCTTTTTTTCATTATTAGCACATTGCATTTTCAAAATGCAAAACTATGAATGAAAAAGAGGTAATATATTTCTCTATGATAATTTTTATAATAATAATAATAATAATAATAATAATAATAATAATAATAATGTATTTCCTTTAATAGGATAGTGATGATGAGGGAAAATTTGAGAATGTCGAAGATATTAAATGGAATTGGAGTCTGTTGAAAAGTGGTCCTGAACTTTAGAAATCAAAGGTAATATCAGAAAGTAAAAATAAGAATTCGTTGTATCATTTCATTGAGCACTTGGTGTTCATCATCAAACTTAGTTTTTACCCATGCAAATCCCTCCCGTATCTGAAATATATTTTTCATCAATATCATATTATGTTCCAGTATGGGCGTATGAAAATTTTCAAAGAGAAGAATGGTTTGGGCGTATGATGAGATTTAGAAATGATGCAATTATTATTTTGAGTATCATATGCCTTCAACTTCCATTTGAATTAACATATGCACATTTGTGTGAAAGCATCGGATCTAACGTGGTAAAGTGAGACTTTTATTCTTTTTTTCAATTTGGTTCATTTTCCATTTCTTGATTATAAGTGCAGTAAATAGCACTGTATTTTCAATTAACAGTTTTTCCCGGTTTTCTTAAATTTGTTTTTTGTTTTTTTTTGTTTTGTTTTTTTTTTTTTTTTTTCTTTTTTTCTTTTTTTTTTTTTTTTAAAGCAACACCAACTACCAATTTACTTTGAATTTTATCTTGTCACTTGAAGAGTGAGTTACTCGAGCCCCGGAAAATAAGACATGGGTATGTAAGCAAAAAAGGAAACTATTTTTAAAGATGTATTTTCATTGAATCTTTTACATTTGTGATTAGTTTTTAAATGATTTCCCAAACGAATGGAGTTGTTATAACGTATCAAATTGTACACCATATTTTATTATGTTTTTAATTTCAGGTTTGGGCAAATGATAGTCATAATGATGATTGGAGTTGTGTGCAGCCTTTAGGCGAATGAAACGAGTATCCAACACTCTTTCTGTTAACATTTTTAGGAATGCTAGAATTTAATGAATTAATAATTACAATGCTTTTCAGTGGACACTCATCAACATTATGGGTGTTATCTTTTAGTAGCACTGGAGATAAAATAGTTACACACACGTATAGTAATATTTAATTACTAATATAACTATTTAAAATAATTTAAAATTATTTTTGGTGACATTTGAAGTGATGATCTTACCATTAAGGTGTGGGATGTGGATATTATAACTTCGCAATCTGGTGATGGCAATACATCTTGGTAATATAAGATGATTTATTTCCCCATTTTAATAAAAAAACTGATATCCTATTATGTATTTTGTTGAATAAAAATAACCATATATTAAAAATGTGTACTATGTATGGGTTACATAATGTGATTGATTTTTGGTTGTTGTGGTGGATGGGGCTTTGTATAAGTTGCTCCTCAAAAAGGAAAAAACTCATGATATGGACATAAATTAGATGCAATGGACCTCTACTGTAAGTCTAAAAAATAGCAATGTAATTTTGTTTATTTGTTTATTACCTGATTTCAGTTTGACATCCCTACATGTAATATGTTTGTTTGTTTTATAATCTTTTGATATGTTGTTGCGTTCAACTACTTCCATTCCTAAATTTGTATATAAGACCTATCCAAGAATCTCTTGTATGTTAAATATATCTTCATCAATACAATTGTATGTTGCAATACATATACAACCTGAAAGAACAAAAAAAAAAATATGACTGAGCGCCAACGCACGCATGATTCTCATCTAGTTTAGAGGAAAAGAGTAAGGAAGAATTATCAAGTCTATGATACCAATATACCATGTTGGCTAACATAATTGATAATTCTCAATTTCTCATTCATCACAAAATCGAATCGGCTGTCTACATTGGGTTGGGATTAATGTGGGTTGTCAAGCTATTTGGCTAATTAAGATAAGTGCTATAAAGAATAATGATTTTCATTACCATATACCAAGGCTATGTTATATTTGACGAACTCAGGATCGGTCCAAAGATATAGTGGGCTCAGAGCGAAAAGAAAAAATTGACCTCTAAAATCAAAATAGACAAACCGTTATAAATTTCACTATTAATATAAAAAAACAAAAATATGATCACAGCATTACAAAAACTACTAATTTAATGAAAAATAATTTTCCTTACATTTTTAGATAAGTTGATCATTTCTCTCTTTATATATACCATATATTTTAGAAAATTTAGGCCCCTTAGAGATATGGGTCCTGGACGACTATCCGGGTTGCCCACCGTTTGGACCGACGAACTCACAAGATAATGAGTTTTCGACAATTAGTTAAGTCTATATTTGGAATATTTTTGAAAAACTTATAAAAAACTAGTCGAAGTAGTTTTATAAAAACCAACTTATAAACTACTTTTTGATTTTTCAACATTACAACGTAAAAACTCAAAAAATAATTGAACTGTGACGTGTTAAACACAACCTAAACATATTGAGATCAACCGTCATTTTCCTCGTCACCATGTTATTGGCAAAACTGTACACCTTTCTTTCAATCTCTACGATTAATCAGTGTGCAAATATCTTTTACTAAATAGGCAAACTTCTCAAGCCATTTTTATTTTCTCATTCTCCAAACTCAAGTTGGATGGATCATACATTCCCTACTTGAATTTGAGGAGGGATGGTAGAGTAGACTTTGTTAATTACTGGTTAATTTCTTGGGGTTGCCTTCATTTTATTCCATAATTAGTGGTTATTTCTGTAATTAATCTATTATAGCTAGGTATTATTTTGACATTATTATTTTAGTTCCTTTGTAGACAAGGATTTCTTAATATCAGATACAAAGGACCATGCAAGCCTAAATCGACTTTTTTCAATCCTTTTTCTTGATCAAATCGAATTCCACACATGAATCCAACATTCCTACCAGTGATTTATCCCTTCTTTTTTTTATCGGAGAACAGTAGGAAAGCATCATTAACACATGGTTTTGTTTATCAACAGAAATGCATTCGTTGTATTACAAATATTGATGCAGGAAAAGTTTCTTTCGAAAAAAAAAATTGATGCAGGAAAAGTAATAGAAGCCTGATGTTTATCAAGAGAATATATTCCTGCCAACTTGCAGCAAAAATTATTGTGTTTGTAGGTAGATTATTGATGCCAGCTTGCAGCAAGACTCGATAACATAGAGCCGAAAACGAAAAAAGATAAAACAAATAATATAATAATAAATAAATAAACATAAGTTCAAACGTATGATGTACTTTTGGAAAAATGCTCTAAGTTTTGGTCTTTTAATAGGTAGAATAATAGTTTATTTATTCACCTCATGTTTTTTTCTCAACACCGTGCATCTATTGGAAAACTTACTCTATAAATTTTAATTAAATAATGGTATGAATATTATAGTTTAAATAATTAATGGTTGGGTTAGCTAAAGTCCTAAACCAACCATGGGTTAATCAAATAGTCAAAAACACATGCACAATGTGGCCAAGTCAAATGGTAAAACCCCATTTGTTTAGTAAGTGACATCATGAGCCTAAATTTTGCATCAAAGCTACTCCAAAATCATCTTAATAATATATTGATTTGGGTCCTTGAATCCCCCGCTATTCAAGGAGAAAGAATGAGATTATCTTGACTATAAATATTATTATTTAGCTCTACCAATCTATGTAGGATTAAAATATTAACTTTTCAAACATCTAACCTCATTATTTACAAAAAAAAAAAAAAAAAAAAAAAAAAAAAAAGACATTTATACAAATTACCCAAAATTTACAAATTAGTTTTGTGAATATAATCAAACCAGCCAGAGACCTCCTGTGCTTGAATAGAGCTTAGCATAACATTTAATTATCCAAGGCCGTGTTTGTTAACAAAATGGAACATATTATATATTTATATTGAATTTGACATTCATTGAACATTGATACCAATCTTGATTTGACAAATGACTTGTATGGCAGCTTTGAAGAGTTT